GGGGGGGGACTCGCCAAGGCCACTGGCCATTAGCTGCAGGGCGGTGCTGAGCCAGGCTCTGACCCGGCCCTGCTCCGGAGGCCAGGCTGCAGCGAGGCTGAGAGTTCTGCCCCCTGGCTTTCCTGCTTGCCCAGGGTCACTGGCGCTCCGCAGGCTCCCCCAGGAAGGCAGCGCTTCCACGCACACACCGCTTCCTCCCTACAGTGCGTGTCTGCAGGAGAGTGCGACCCGGGGCCACCCCATGCCAACGCTGGCACTCTCGGCCTTATTTCCCACCTGTGTTTACCGGCCCCCAACACTGCCAACTGAAGCTTCTAGGGCTGTTGGGGTCTGTCTGCTGCACCCCCCAAGGGTGTACCCCTCTGAGGTGGGTACCGATCAGGAGGTCCAAGGCGGGCTCACGGTCCCTGGGCTCAGGCCGGCTACCTGGCAAGAAGCCCTTTCTCACCACTGCGGCCCTGATCCCATGCTGACCTGGGCCCAGCCACCAGCCCAACCCCTCCTTCTGCCCAGGGAAAAGTTGAAGAACCTGCAGATGCACAGGGCAGAGGTCAAGGCCACAGCCAAGGCCAGTCGGCCAGAGCCTCCATGGGGCCTGCTGACCACACTGAGGCAGCCCCCAGCTCTGACACAGCTGAAGGCAGCAGGTGGGTGGGCACCAGACTGGCCGCCGGCCCCGGAGACAGGCCCTTTCTGCTGCCTCGACAAGCCAAGCCCAGGCGTGCGCAGCCAAGAGCGAGGCCAGGCAGCCGCAGGCGGCCGCTCTGCTGAGAAGGCAGCCCCCCAGGGCCCAGCTGACCTTGGGCAAAGAAAGCCCAGCCCGCCAGCAAACACACTTCCCAGGACCCGAGTCACTCGGGCCTCAGCACCCACCACACCCTACCCTGTAGGCCCACCAAGCCCAGCGGCCTGGTCCCCCAAGAATCCAGGGCTCTATGCTCAGCTATGTCCTAGATGCCTGGGGTAAAAGGGTCAGGGCAGACGGAGACCCCGCTGAGCAAAGCCTCCACACATGGCCGCGGCTGACGTGCGGGCATCCTGGGGGGGGTGGGGTTCAGCTGTGTCTGCATGCACGGGAAGGTTCTAAGGCCGACAGCACCCAGGAACCTGGCCCAAGCCTACAGCCATCGAGCACAAGCCAATGCTATGGGACCTGAGCCGTCTGGCACCCAGCACGGCCTGGGAGAGTGCTGCACACAGCCCCCCAGGGCAGCGCCCTAACTACTCCCACCCGCCAGACCCCCAGGTGGGCCCCCGTGCCAGGACACCCAGACAGCCACGGCCCTCCCTGCAAGGCAGAGGCCTAAGCACCGTCTTCACCAGGATGAGGAGCTTGTGGGGAACAGCAGCCGTACAGGGTTGGCAGCTGGATCTGGGCCCGTCCACTCTCAGTCCGTTCTCAGCCTGGCCCGTAGCATCCACAGCCCCAGGCTGGCCTCCCCTCACAGCCCACCCCATCCCCCTGACCCGAGGTCAGACCTCGCATGCCTGCCCACATGGCTCTCTCAGTCCCCACCTGCTCCCCAACTCCCACACTGAGGTGAAGGCATATTCCCCGTCCTGCTGCTGACTGGGCAGTTCTCCACCTAATGGGCTTGACGTTCTGGCTGGTTATCAGGTGGCTACTGCTTAGGGGGCGCAGCCAGCCACCCCCCTCCCCAGGAGCCCTCACCCCACAGGGCCTGGCTCCCGCGTCTGCTCGGTGACCCCCGCAGGGCCTAGCAAGCTCAGCACTGGCCCAGCTGAACCCAAACCCAGGGCTTCCTTGGCAAAAAGCTACCCTCCCCCAGCCACACCCCTGGGGAGAGGCAGGGCCTTGCCGGGGCTGGACGTGGGGCTGGAATGCGGACTGCAGGAGGGGAGGCAGAAGCAAGAATCAATAAATCTGAACCTCATTCACGATGATCTGGGGCTCTTATTAAGTAAATTAATTTAAGTTAATTTAGCTCGATCATGACTCCCGATCACAGTGATTTAGTGAGGGGGAAATTGCATTAGGAAAGGCCATGCTCACTAGATAGGAGAACGGAAGAAAATTAGACCCACTTAGCAGTGTGAATTAATATGGAAATAGCAGGTGTAAATTTAACCTTATCGAGAGAGTGAAAATTATCTTCATAAATTTGTAGAAATAGCCCCCAAGATACTTATAAATCTATTTAAAACAAAAATATTACAAAAAGTGCAGTAAAATTAATTTAAAATATACTTCCAGCTATTGCCTCCAGAAAAATCAGCAGCAGGGCCACGTTTAGTGCCACCTCGTGGTAAGGGAGGAGGGCAGTGCCGGGGTGGGCTAGTCGCCCAGTACACGTGCCATGGGCCAGCGGCCGGCACCTCCTTTACGGCCCCAGAGCCCGGCAGCCACTGTTGGCGGGGGGCTCATGCTGGGCTAGCAGGATGGCCCTGCCCAGGACTAGAGGTGGTCCAGCCCCTTGGAGCACAATGATCCCTTGCTTCACAGCCTCTGGTCAGAAGTTATGTGTCCTAGAGTGCCCACTGCAGCCAAGCGAAGGCCTACGTTCGAAGGAGCTCCCACACCGCTCCCCCAGGAAGGAGGCTCCCAGAGGGAGGCGAGGGGGCAGAGGGAGGGGGTCTGCCACTGCCTGGTTCCCACCTACCCGCCAGAGCTGTCACCCCCTCCCCCACCTCATCAAAGGAAGGGGCCACACCCCCATGCTGGGTCTCCTGAGGCCCCAAGGCTGAGCAGGCTCACGAGAGGGGCCCCCAACTTCAGTCCCCTAAAGCTGCTGCTCCAACTAGCCCTCCCACTCTGGGCCCGGGGCACCCAGGAAGAAGGGGGAGCTGCCCCCACCCTGCACGCTGTCAGCCAGAAGCAGCCTGGAGTAAGGCTGCAGCGCTGGGGGTGCAGGCGGGACCAGTGTGGGGGTGGCACGGAGAGGGCCACAGCCTCCTCTCCTGCCCCGAACAATCAGTACGTCACTGCTTCCAGAGGGCTGCTCACAGCCCAGACTCTGACCAGAAGTTTCTCCGTGAAGGGACGCCCAGGTGCAGCCTCAACGGCCTGGACAGTGGTGCCCCCTCGGCCGTCCCCTGCCAGCTAACAGCTTCCTGACAGCGGTGGAGGGCACACATGTCTGTGCACGCGGCCCACACAGGCTGGCCGTACGTCTGGTGCAGAGACTGATGAATGGAAAAAATGAGCCTGTTCCTCAGCCAACAAACCGTGGACCCGGCACTTCCGAGCGGCAAGCTCAGCCCCCAACAGGCCCCGGGCCCGTGGCAGCCTGGAGGAGGGCCTCCTACCTGGACAGGGAGAGCCGCCGTGCCCGCCAGGAGGGCAGGGACAGGGGTAACTGGGGGGCGTTGAGAGGAGATACTGGGGTCTTCTTGACGATGCGGTAGCGGGTCTTGATCACTTTGCTGGTGGGAGGGGTCCGCGGGGTGTGCAGACTGGACGCTGCGGAGAAAACCCACACAGATGTGGTCAGTGGAGGTCAGCAGGGCCTCCTCTCGCCTCCCCCAGGCCCTCCCCCTGTGGCACACACACGTCCCCAGGGCTGCAGGAGAGCTGGGCCCAGGCCTGGAGTCCTGAGACGCAGGGCAGCGGGCACACGCAGGGCACCGGGGACGCGCAGTGACGGGGGCAGGGCAAGCAGCAGCCAAGCCTCCGCGGGCCAGCCGACGAGGGCAGCTGGAGCCCCTCAGCAGGCAGCACCGAAGCCCCCAGACTTGGGGCTGGCCCCAGTCTCCAGCGCTTCCCGTGGGCAGCGAGGAGGGGACCTCGGGCGGGTCCGGGAGGCCAGGGGTGCAGAGTGCTCACCTCCCTCGCTGGACAGCCCCCCCAACAAGCTCACGCAGATTTATGTATCTAATCACCACTGTTTTCATAACATCTTGCAGGGTGATGAATGCCACAGCTTTTCTTCTTGCTGAATGTTTCATGCAATTAACAGGAATCTGTTTTGCCCGAGTTCCCTTCCACTTGATAGCCGGCAATTTCTCCACAGCTTCAAGGAATGTACCTAATTGCCCGGCTCTCATAATATACAGCTCTAAGTGCCCAGATAATTAAAGCGAGTGTGGCGTGGGACGCAGGCGCTAAAGCCTCATGACCCACCCCACGGCCAGCAGCCTCTCCGGAAGCTCCCCTCTCGGACAGGCGCTGGGACCCAGGCTCCCAACCTGCCTGCACAGCACCCGGGAGCTCCCCTTGGAAGGGAGGCTGCCAGCAGGCCCCCAGCAGTGGGTGGTTCCCCAGGGCCCCCACCACAGAGACGCCCTCATGAGGAACTGACCCAGACACCACAGCCAGGCGGCCGGGCCGTGGGTGCCAGACGAGGCCACCAGGAAAACGCACGCGGTCTCGCTGCTGGAGTGCCAGCACCAGGGTGGGCCCACGACCCTTTGGACCAAGTGTGCCTGGGGTCCAGGATGGCCCAGGCATGCGGAGGCCCCAAACCCACAGATCCGCTGCTGACTCTGCCTAGTGCCGGCCACTCCGCTCCTCTGACAGCATGGGCCGTGACCTCCGCCTGCTCCCCGGGCCCCAAGGATGCACCCTCCCAGCACCCACAAATCCCAACCCGGACTGGGAACCTCCCCATTACCCGCCCACAAGGAGCTGTTACGGGTCTACAGACAGCACCTAAAAATCTTCCTCCGGAGCCCTAGACCCAAAAGACCTCTCGCCCACAGCCAGGCCCCTGAATCAGCACCTTGGCCCACAGACCCCCCCCTCTCCAGGCTTGTCCAGCCCGCCAGAACCCACTGTACCCCGGGGAACACCTGGCCAGGAGCAAACAGGACGAGCCTACCCTGTAGGCACCACACCTGCACAGCAAGGAAGTGGCTGGTAACTGGCACCGTGCCTCCTGGTCCAGATGTCAGAAGAGCCCCTCCTTCAGGTGTCCCCCCACCCTCTGCCAGGGCTCCCATCCACCCACATGGCAAGGCTGGGACACAGCGTGGTTCAGAGCCCTCCTGAGTGCCCCCAGACCAGAGGGCCTACCCCTGCTGCCAGACCAAGGAGGATGTGGAGGTCCCTTGCACCTGTAAGGGGGTGGATGTGGGGCTTCAAGGCCCACAGAGTGCCAGGAGTAGGGCAGAACTCTGGTCCCTGGACTGGAGGCAGGGACCCACAGCAGCCGCCCACCAAAGGGAGCCATGACACATGCAGGTGAGGCCGGGCCAGACCCCCAGCAACAGGAGAGGTCCCCCTCCCCCACTTGTCTGTCTCTCCTTCATTCTCCCTCCCTCCAAAAGCAGCAGCTCTGGGGAGTCAGGGAGAAAAAAGCAGCTCAGCAAACGCAAAGGGCGACATGGCATCACCGGGGACACGTGGTCTTGCTGAGCGATCAAACTGAGCAGATCTTTAGCTCTGGGCACCCCACACACACTTGGGACATAGGGCAGAGCCCAGCATACAGTGGGGCATCAGTAGATAAATGTTTGCGGAATTGAATTTTCAAAGTCTTACAAGCAAGGATAGACCAAAGAAAATCAATAACAGCTTGTTCCAACTAAGAGACTGCCTTTAAGTCATCCAAGCCTCCAGCTAACCTCACCGCCTCCCTGCTCCTGCAGCCCTTGCATCTGGACAGCACACTTGCCTGTAGACCCCGACTGCGGCTCAAGGGCCTCCCAGGGCAGCCACCACCTGCCGCTCCGGGATGTAGGTGCCCCCCCCCCGAGCCACACAAGCCTGGCTCTGCAGCCAGATTCCTGCTTGGGGGCACGGCTGTCTCACCACCCTCATCCGCTTCCTCCTGAGCACAGGGAACCCTGAGCCTGGCCCAGCTCTGCTCCCCTCTTCCAAATGCACAACACTACCACCTCCTCCAGGAAGCCCCCAGCCCCCATGCCCAAGGGCCTGGACTCTGCATTCAAGTTAACAGGCTGCGGTACTTTTTTTTTAAAGATTTTATTTATTTATTTGACAGAGACAGAGACAGCGAGAGCAGGAACACAGCAGGGGGGAGTGGGAGAGGGAGGAGCAGGCTTCCCGCCGAGCAGGGAGCCCGATGCGGGACTCGATCCCAGGACTCTGGGATCACGACCTGAGCCGAAGGCAGCCACTTAACGACTGAGACACCCAGGCGCCCCAGGCTGTGGTACTTATAATACATTCCTGCACAGGGCACCTGGGGGGCTCAGTCGTTAAGCGTCTGCCTTCGCCTCAGGTCGTGATCCCAGAGTCCTGGGATCGAGTCCCGCATCGGGCTCCCTGCTCGGCGGGAAGCCTGCTTCTCCCTCTGCCTCTGCCCCTGCTTCTCTGCCTACTTGTGCTCTCTCTCTATCAAATAAATAAATAAAATCTTCAAAAAAAAAATACATTCCTGCCCAGTGCAGGCCTACCGTGAAGTCAATTTTTTGCTTAACTTACTGCATTTTACTTGTTAGTGCCCAATTACCATTTCTAGGAAAACACAGAGTAATAAAGCAGACCTCTCACAAGGCCGACTAGCATCAGTTCCTTCACATTGGCCTCTGTTCGGCCGCCACCCCCCTGGTCCCGAGAAGCGGAAGGGGGAGGGGAGGGCACAGCAGCCCACGCCCTGCCCCCACAGTGGCCTGCACGCCCCTCCTGGTGCCTGTCTCTCCTCGACAGGCAGTGTGGACACAGGCAGAGGAAGTGCTCATGACAGTGACCCCAGGGAGACCTGTCCGGGGCGTCCCTGCCGAGGGCAGAGACAGAGATGGGCGGTGGGCCCCCACGGCCAATAGGTGCAGGGGGACCAGGGAGCCGGGACAGGAGGGAGCGAGGGCCCTGCTCCAGCGCGGAGGTGGAGCGGCTGGCATGGGCAGGCCGAGAGGCGCCGTCCCCACGGTGCAGGCGCCCAGGCCTCGCCCCGACCCTGAGGCTGGGAAGGCTGCCCCAGCACAGCCCGCCACCCCTCCCGGCTGGCGGACGGCCTGTGTGGATAATCATGTTATTTAGATAGGATGTGGGTTTAATTCCCTTCATTACAGACTCCCAGGGTTGTAATTTTTTTTCTCCACATGATGTATTCCCTGTGGCACATTTCACTCAAATCAAACCCTTCGCGCCTTTATTGCCAACGAGGCCCGGGCGCCGCGTTATCAGGCCCACACACACAGCCCTCTCCGCCCTGCCGTGCAGAGGTCACTTCTAATGACTAATCGATCTCATTAGCTTTCCTAATTAAAAACTTTACTACCGCAATGGAAGACAAACTACAAAAAAACTGCTGGCATCATATTTGAGTGGGATATGAGCCCATCTATCAGCAGAGCCCACACGCCTGCAGTCGGCCCAGGGGCCAGCCGCCCCACGTTCCCACGCTCAGGGGCCCTGCGCGGGGTAAGGGGGGACACATACAAGCAGGCCTGCTGTCAGGGAGGGAGGCCACCGAGGCCCAGAGTGCCTGGGACCCGTCCGGTGGCCGAGCCCCGTGTGTACCGCCCTCTGTGATCCAGCTTGTGATCCAGCTGCGGAAGCACGCAGCCTGCCAGCCCCTGGCCAGCACCTCCCAGGGCCGCCAGGCACTGGGCGGACGGCAGAGAAGGGAGGGCCACGGCAATCGGCAGCAATCGTCTGCAGCAAGCCCCGGCCCCAGCTCGCCCAGCCCCCCTCCTCGGACAAGCCACCACAGATGGCAGAGCCCATCAGACGGAGGTCACGGCTCGCTCGCTCTCTGTTAGCGCAGAGCAGGAGTTGAGATGGAGTTCAGATTTTTATGGAACTTCAAAGGGCAATAACTGGGTAGAAAATGAGCTGCTAATTTCACAACTGTTTAATGAATAAGAAGATAAAGACCTGCCTGAAGATGCGACCAGCAGGGGAGGGAGTGTCCAAAACGGGCCCGGCCAACCCAGGCCCACGTGAGTGTCCCCTGTAGTATGTGGCTGTCCGTGTCTGGCTCCCTTGGGAAAGGCCTGCTGGGGAGGGGCAGGGACCACGTGTCCCAGGCCCCACAGCTTCCTGCCCCCCGCCTCCAGCAACGGGCCACAGATGGGAGCTCCAGAGCCCAGAAGCAGGCCAACTGAGCCACAGGCTGAGGGCACTGTAAGAAGGTGGCAGATCAGTCCACAGCTGGGCTTCCCACCCCGTTCCAGAAGGCCCTCCCCTGAGCCTCCGAGGACCAGGCCGCGTGAGGAGGCAGCTGGGGTGCTGCTGGCTGAGGCACAGCCCAAAGGCTCGGCCGCCTCTGGCCCTTCATCCCAGCTGGGGACGGGACCGCCGAGGAGAAAGCCAGTGACTGACACTCGGGCACGGGGTTCACCGGAATCAGCCATACGGGACGCCCAGGCTAGCAGAGCAGGGCTGCACAGACCCGTGTACGGAGCGTGCGATCTGCCTACGAACCAAGCTATGCTCCGGAAGGAGGGGCACCTCTCGGGGCCACGGCAGGGTGGTGGGGGAGAGAGACCCCTGACTGAGGATGGGGAGCCAGGCTGCTGGGGACGCCGAGCCAGAAGGGCCTTCCACTGGCCCCAGCTCCCTGGTGCACAGTCCGCTGAGACCCCCCCTCCCTGTGCGTACCGCCTGGTCTGCCCTCCACAAGGGCAACGCTGACACGCGGCCCAGGCCCCTCGCTGGCTGAAGACCGTTCTAAAAGGCCGCATCATGGCTCAGCGTCTCAGAAGCCACATCGATCACTCTTCTGCCGCATAAACCATCCTCCACTCCGGTCAGCTCAGGTCACAGCTGGCCTGTCCGTGTGTCATCAGCCGGCAGTGCCCCCACCGCCCGCAGCCCCTCACCGGGATGGGCACAGGGGCCCCTACCTGACCAGGACCCATGGGTGCCAATTACAGGCAACCTCCATACGCCCAAACTCGCTCTTCCGTGGTCTGAAAGGTCTTTCTTCCACGGCAGTTTTGGATGAGGTGCAACTTTGGCCCAGCCCAGGATCTGGCCCTGGTGTCCTCAACCCTGGGAGAGGGACAGGGAGTTCTGGCATAAGGCAGACGAGAGGGGACAGAGCAGGCAGGGTGTCGAGCCCCGGGAACCAGCCCAGGCCCCTCCTTGGCAAAGATGTGGGACGGCACCTGGCAGCGGGGCTGCTGGTGCACCCCGGAGAGAGGCCAGGAGGCCCCTGCGAGTGCCCGGGAAGCTGAAAGCTGACGGGGTGGGGCACACCCACAGCCCTCCCCCACCCCCAAGGCCTCTTCCTTGGGCACTGTCCCTCAGTGCCCACAGCCTTCGGGGCAGGCCCTGGCCATAATCCTGTTCTCCAGCAAGAGCAAGACTCTCAGATCAGCTGCCTGCTTACAGCTGTGACTGCACTGGATGGTGATCAGTGTGCAAAGGGGTGCACACCACAGGCGGGACCCATAGGAAGCACCCCCAGCAGTGACACCGCCGGCCTGGGAGGAGGAGGAGGGGCCTGAGCGGGGTCCAAAGAGAGGGGACAACATGGCCACAGGCTCTAGGCAGTGCTCCGGCTTCTGGCAGAAGAGGGGAGGTGGACTGGGGGGCTA